AATTGCCATCTCTGTGGCACTAGATGCACTGCTAGCATCTCCCCCCGACCGGACAACTTGGCCTTCTCCCTCTGAGCAGGAAGAGGAGATGCAAACATTTGCTCTTCAGCCGTGACTTCATGATGGGAGTTACTGATTAACCAGCACAATCACCTGCAGCTCAGTAACTGGAGACTTTCTTCTAAAATAATTGTTTATATGCTCAGGCTCACACTGGATTTTGCAAAGGGGGAGAGAGAAAGCCAAGAACTGAAAAACAACTGATGTCAACTCCAAGGGACTCACAGCTGGAAGGGGGCAGCCCCGCCTCCGGTCACACATCTGGAAGCGTGGTGGCAGGAGAATGGCCGCACACACTTGTTTCAGCTACACTAGCTTGTAGGAAGGGGAAGGAATTTTATAACAGTCATATGATTAGTTTACTTTTTCTTCCATTTCTGTCCCAAACCGTTTGAAAACAAATTCTAAAATGTTCCTTATCCATCGATTCTCCCACTCAAAAAGGGGCACACCCCAGGCGTCAACACCGTGGCTTTGTTGTTTGACTCCACGCTGTGATGCAGCAGGAAAACAATGTGATGAGGTGTCAGTAGCCCATTTGTGAGTTCCAGCCTCCTGCCTGCTGACAGCTGACTGCTCAAAGCCCTTATCTTTTCTGGTAAAAATGCTAGTATTACTTGCTTCACTCCTGACTAAGAGAAGATTAAAGACAAGAATCTGTATTTTGCCCATCTCACCCCAGTAGCAGTGACAAAGTTTAACAGGACAGCAAGTAATAAATGCTGGAGAGGATGTGGAGAGATAGGAACTCTTATACATTGCTGGTGGGAGTACAATGGTACAACCATTCTGGAAGGCAGTCTGGTGCTGCTTCAAAAAGCTGAACACAGAAATTCCATATGACCCAGCTATTCCACTGCTTGGAATATATCCTGAGAGAAAGAGAACTGAGGCACAAACAGAGACTTGTACACCAATGTTCATAGCAGCATTGTTCACCATTGCAATAACATGAAAACAGCCCAGATGTCCAACCATAATCAAACAGATTGAGAAATTATGATACATTCACTGGCTGGAATACTATGCAGCATGCAGGAGCAATGATTTTTGTAAATGACTAGGGATTGGACAGAATTATGCTAAGTGAACTAAGTAAGTCACATACGGACAAATATTGTATAAGACCATTATTGTAGACCACAGAAGATAAATTTTTCTTCTAATGTAGGATCCAAGGAGGAGGAGGAGCGGGGTGGGGTGGGGGGAACGTGGGAAGGATAATTACTCATAAGTTCACACAGTTTGATGGGTAAAGGGAGGGGTGGGTGAAGCAAATGGGAAAGATCCGGAGTGAAAAACAATGTATATGAACTTTGTAAATACACCAGTATAATTAACACGTGGCCACAAATGACGGCAAATGTGTTTCCAAGCACAGACATCAATTTAAAAAGTGTGTGACAACATGTTAAAAAATTTTTTTTAAAAAAGAACATGTATTTTACAAGTTGGTACTTGGTTGGGAAGGATTAGACACGTCACTGCTCCCTTTTCTGAGATGAACCCACATCTACTCATTACATTGGTTATTTTTAATTTCACCAAAACTAATAGTTTTTGTAAGCCATTACTATTTCACTCCCTTCTTCCCATAAATGGAGAAAGGCTAAGTGTAAGTCTTACCTCTTTTTAAAGCCAAGACAATATTCAATTATTAGAGAGCTCAGGACATCTGAGCAGAAATGCCTCAAGCTGGTCTCAAGGCCAAAGCAGCCTCTCTGGAGAGCTGATTTCCTGAAGACAGTGCTCTGGGGACCTCCAAGCAGAGTGAACTTAAACCATGTGTGGGTCACCGGCATGTCACCTCACAGTCAATCCCTAGCACCCCTGTCGCTAGGCCTTTCTTTTTGCAGCCCTGTGGTTTTGTTCTTATTGGAGCAGTGGAGGCAGGGGGATGGTTAGATGGTCCCACAGCTTCCCTAACCTTGCTTCCTCATCATGACAGCTCTCTTCCCCACACTGGACCATTCAGGTCTTCTGCTGTTCCACGTGGTCCGAGTACCCTCTCTTCCCCCAGCCCTCACACACACAAGGACTGGTAAGCCATTTCGGTGGTGGTTCTTATGTGCTGTCGAGTCGGAACAGACTCATAGCTGACCCTCCAGAAAATTTTCAGAAGCTGTAAACCACAGGGGAGGAGACTATTCAGCTTTCTCCCATGAAGCAGCTGGTGGCTTTGAACCATGTGTCTCTGAGTTGGCAGCACAACTCCTTACCACTAGGCCACCCAGAGGCCAATCAGAATTACCTTAAGAAGGTGGTTTACTTCCTGTTTAAAAGGGATATGTGATTAGGTATTTTTGTCATGACAGGAGTCCAGAGTGAAGGCTACATGGTGGAGTGGACCTGGGGGGAGGGTTTGTAAAACAATGAAAGAATTTTTCTTTTACTTTTCCAAGAGGGTAGTGTACTGGGGGGGAGGGTTGGGAGGGGAGAAAAGTGCAACAATGAATGAATGGAAATCCAAAGTCTCTGTAAATTTTTACTGAAATTAAGAATAAATTTAAATACATTAAAAAAAGAAGGTGGTTTACTTCTACTTATCCACAATTGAGAGCACAGAAACACTCTTTGAAGAATTTCTTTTAAAATAAATTTTTATTCAGGTTTGAACTGGATAGGTAACATCCAATAATGACGAGTGTATGAAAAAAGTCTGTTATCAGCAATCTTTGTTGAACTGCTGCTCATCTAAGGAGTCCTGGTGGCACAGTGGTTAAGTGCTTGGCGGCTAACCTGTGCTTTGAACCCACGAACTGTCCTGTGGGAGAGGGGACCTGGGGACTCACTCCTATAGATTCCAGCCTAGAACTGTTATGGGGTGGTTCTATTGTATACAGCTGGCATCCAACAACCCCCATTCTTTATTGGATTGCTGAATTCTGCTCACAGCTTAGACTTCCCAGGGGATGCCTCAAAAACCAACATATACAAAAGTATCCTAGTTTTCAAAAGTTTTAAGCACAAGTGGGTAAGTATCTCATGGACATTTTAAGGTGTGAAGGGCAGGAATGAAAGGTGGAAAGAAAACAGTAATACCTAAAAGCAAAACAGAAATCTCAATAATCTTGAGGTTTTGTTCCCAAGGAAAATTCTTTTTCATTAACTCAAAGAGCATTAATCTGAAAAACTCAAAGAGGTCTTGAAAGGACTTGTTTACATCTAATGTTTCTTCCTGCACAACCGGGTTCAGTTACTAAAGAAGCCTCAATAGGCTTGTACAAAGCAGGCCTCAACATGATCCCTCAGATTTAAAACTTCTTGAATCAGAATTGCTCAGCGGAGTGACTTTTGTATGTTCAAAGTTGTGTTGTTCCTGTGGGTTAGTAGCCACATAAGGGGTTGATTGTTTCAGTCAACAATTCCCTCACGTCCTGTCCATTCCAATTTCATGCCGGTCTGTGGAGGAGGCTCTGAGTATTTCCAGACCTCAGCTCTGTAAATGCTGCTTGTCCTTCACAAGCCCACAGGGACAGGCCATTGGGTCCCTCAGCGATCTCCATAGCTGCTCATAAGATGAGCAGAGAAGGCCCGGAAGACAAGGTCCAGGGACTCCTCCAAGGATGGAAAGGACCCCACCAGGGCTCCCCCCCGAGGCCTCCCCCCTCTTCCCTCACCACTGTCTACGCTGGCCTGAGGTACTCAGGCCACTTGATTTCTGCACCTCAACAGCAGAGGCCACCATGTGGTTGGTTTTTCTTCATGTGGCTGTGGCACAAGTAGTGGCCAGGTATCTCAGTGTGTCAATAAATGAAAGTAAATGAGAACAAGTGTGTCCTTATTTGCACCACTTAATGCATACTGAAAGCATGTGGGGAAAAGGATGCACAGAGTGAATCATCCAATCAAAAGAAGGTAACTTTATATTATTATTACAGAAAACAAAATACCTCACCTTGTTTCCAGGCCCAAGAGAAATCCATTTAAGACTGAGTATCACATTGCCACACACCCAGCTGACAAACACTCGGTCAACCTAGGGTTCCTCCCCCCACCACACTGACAACGGGGCTTGACAGCTTGACACATCTGTAAGGCATCTCCCCCTGCAGAGCTGCATTTGAAGAGCAAGCCCAGGGAGGCGCCTCTCCTGGCCAGCCTCTATCTAACTCATCACCCTCTGAGGACACTTGTAGAGTCAGCATGCAGCGGGAGTGGTGCTGCCTCAGCAGTCAGGGCTCCAGCCTGGCCAAGGGAGGGGAGGTCAGGCGCGTCCGCCTGAGAAAGCAGCTGGCCACAGGAGGAGAAAGAGGAGCTGTGGGGTGGGGACATGAGAATGTGACAATGTGAGCAAAGCACTACCTTCTGAACTACCATTTCAAATTAAACACAGACTCCCGCCGGAACGGCAAGACTCCCTGGACGCTGCAAAGGCACAACCTTCTTCATGCGATTCACTGTTGTTTCCTCTTTGCCCACCGGTTCTAGTGCTCATTCTCTGTGGGAAATGGCAATGGCTTCTTTATTCAGCTACAGCTTTCCAAAAAGGTACAGATGATGTGGCCCAGAGCATAAGCAGGTCCACCTGGTAAAGGAGGGTTCCGAGGTCAGGATCTGCTGGCCGTCTCTCAGGCCAGGGAGTCGGCTGAGGGGGTTCTGCTCTTGCAGGTGAGAGTCCTGGCCATTTTATTTTCTGCCTGGGGATGAGGTTGCTGCCTGGAGGCCAAAGGGCCTGGAAGAGCTCAGTCTGTCACAGGTGGGTAGGTGAGGTCCTGACCGAGCAGCGTGAGCTGGAACCATCCCAGGCTTGTGTGTAGAGTCGGGAGGGCAGGGCCCTGGCCACTGCCTCTAGCACACAGCTGGCTCACAGAAACATGCAAAGAGCAGGTAACTAAGGAACAACCCCAGGAAAGTGGTGTCTTTGTTTTGGCTTTTATTTCTCCCCTTTCAGTCTGGTCTTCAGCTCTCAAAGCTGTTTTTGTACAGAGTTCTGTTTTCTATGGCTCTGAGAGGGTGGCTCCATCGCAGATGACCACAGGCTGCGCCCCTCTGGCTATAATGTAGACGTTCCAGTGAGTAGTAGAGACATAGCCTTGAAGGGAAACAAGAAAACATGTCAAAGCCAGGGATGGGGAGAACCGTGAGCAACAGCAAGGCAAGTCTGCAGCAGTCTGCACTCAGGAGCCCCTGCAGACTGGTGGAGGCGGTCTTGCTTTGAAGTTCTTGCTGGTATCAGTGTTCCTAGTGAGAATCAAGCCTTCCTGTAGCCTAACACCCGACAGAAGTCACTCTGAAAGAAAGCACTTTCCCCCAGCCCTCACTTGGGTAGCAGCGAATCCTATCTGAGGGGGTATACAAAGGCTGGATGCTGTAGCTTAGGCTGGCATTGAGCATGCATTCTCAGACTGACCTCATCTCTTCCAGCAAAAACCAGGATGAATTCTTAGGGGGAGCAGGCCACTTCCCCCTTCCATTCCTCCTGAGGTTATCTCTAATACGATTGCATCACACAACATCCAGATTAACACAGTCCAGCATGTCCCAAAGTCAACTAACTCAAGATAAAAGCCTCGATAAAGGCTTTTCCAAGTGGCTGTGTTCCCACTCCTGAAGTCAGACTTGATATGAAGAACCGAGTGGCCATGGCCCTCTGTCACTCTAGTGGTCTAGGTAGACGAATGTGAACACTTTTTTAAAATGTCAGCATTTTGATACTCTCCTGATGGCAAGTTTCCTAGAGTACATCATACTTCCCTGTCTTTAAACTGACAGCTTGAATGTAATTTAACCTTCACTGGTGACCCAAGGAAAGTCACTTACGAACAGCAACTGTGCTGTAAAATCACTGTAGGCAGGTGGGGTCGGCCCAAGAGCACCAACCTCCGATACCTGGACCTTAGATTGTTCTGGAAAAAGCCTCCTGCACAAATTGTCAGAAGATTTGAACCTCTGCCTCCTTTCCACTCAAAAGCCACAATCTCACAGAGACAATGCATATTTTGTCAAAGAGCATGGGGCATGCTTGTCAAGTGCTACCTGTAAGGGTCCGTCTGTTCTACACGCTCTGATTTTCCAGGGCGCTCCCACCAATCAGGTTCTGACTTCCTGTCCTCACTTGAACTACAGCAGCTGTTCCCATTGCTTCTATTTCTGCTCCTGTTTCAGGTACCCAGGGTTCTCCCCACCTCACTGCGCCCCCTGTTCTTCTCCCAGACTCCTCCTCCTCCTCTATGCATCCTCCCTTCTCAGAGCTCATCTCACACAGCTGGCTTTTACAGACTCTGCCACCACGAGACTCCTTTCCTTCGATCCGCAAATGGCAGAGAAGTCATCAAACAGGGGAGCCATCTCCCGAGCTCAGGCTCTTCTGAAAGATCTGCATCACAGCTTGCCGCTCAGAGCTTCTCTGATGACTGCCAAGGACTCTTTTTCTTGTCTTCCATTTTAGAACTGGCACTCTGGATGCTTTTGGGAGCTGGAAATCTGTCATCTGGATCACTAAGATGTTTCTATAGTTTTTGCAACAGTTATGTATCTATAGACTGTAAGACAGATTTTTTCTTTCTTTTTTTTTTGCAGTACCACTACACACTCTGAGCTGAAACACATGGTACTTAGTTTTGCAATAGTCATTCCCCGAGGTAGGGCCATTCTACCAGAGGAAAATAGCTCAGACCACTTTTCACACACGAATTCTCTTCTTTACACCTCCACCCCAAAGGCCAGGCCAGCTCTTATTACTTAAAAACAATTCGTGCTTATTTAATGCTTAATTTATGTATTTTCCTTTTTTTCTCATTTGAAAATGGAAATAAAACTCAGTCCTGTTAAGCTGAAACTGATACTCATAGCTGAACCCCTAGTGGTTTCTCCTAGATTGTAAAGCACATGGGAAGAGGTTGCCCACTTTCCCCCCGAGGGACTACTGGTGGATTTGAACTGCCAGCGAAGCGTGGTCTCTGGGTACAGACCTGGAATAGTTTCCAGTCTCCACTTTATCCCTAAATGGAATGAGTGATCACTAGGGATTGGGGGTGGGCAGAGGGTGGTCATCTGATTGTTTACAACAAAAAGAAATCAATAGGAAAAGCAGTCTTTTTTGCTACAGATTTCTATGACTGATAGACATGGCGTACATTGGAAAAGTTTTATGTGCAACAAGAAATACCACTCTGCTACCTTTTCTTATTAGTTTCTCCACTGTAAAGCATGTTAAACAGGGACTATTAATAAGTGCTCTTTTTAAATCTATACATTGAACCATTAAAAGGCAGTATTTGATGCTCAAGACAGTTACAAATGAAAAAGATGATGTGGCAGACTCTGCCCTCCTGGGAGCTACATACCGATATCCCCAGGCTGGAGCTGTATCACCACAGACTGGCAGTGTCTCTGGCACTGCACGGGAGGGATGAGCTGCAGCATGGCCTCCCCACTGCCAAGGGCAAACAGGTCATGCTTTATGTGTATCTGTAGGGAAGAATGAAGGGAGACAAAGGGTGAGAAAGAAAGCAAAATAAAACCTAGGGTTCAAGGTGCAGGTATAGGTGCACAAAAATCCCTAAACAAACGGCTGAGTTCCCCAGCAGCGTAAGCAAAGAGGTAAACAGAACCAACAGCACAATTCACAGTCCAAAAGATAAAAGCAAATTCGTTTCTCTTAAGTGGGAAATCTCTTCACGCTTGGACCAGGGTAGAATCTCTTCTACAGATTCTTGTAAAGACACTCTGTGACTTGGTGGATTACATCCTTAACAATTGCCCGATAACAGATAGTGAGAATTTGCAAGTATTTCTTTCTAGCCACAGTTTGAAAACAAGCCAAGCAAACTACCCAATTGTGAAGCTTAGCAAAAGAGGCTCTGGGAAAGAACAACATACGGTGGTCTACGTATGCAATCTCAGGTCTACATATGCAATCTCTGGTCTGTGTATGCTATCTCTGAGCGCTTGGTTTGATTCAGATGTTTTAGAGAAAGTGAGAGTCTGCATCTCCTTTGGGTGGTATTCCATGGACATCTTTGTTACTGGGCTTCTAATAAAAATTGAAAAGCATCAACTTTGCATTTTCTGATGAACAGCTATGCCATGCTACTGATTAAAATCTAATGGCACTTGGGGGGATGACACCTCAGTCTCTCGACCATGCCATCTTGTGGAGGGGCCCAAGGTCAAGGCAGAAAGAAAGGCCATGGCTTTTGAAGGCCAGCAGGCAAATGCATGCCCTCAGGCCTGGGCGCAACTGACATGTCCGAGTCTTGGTGTTGAGTGGACCAAGCCAGCTCAACCTGGAGCCGCAATGACCTCCTGGTGCATGCCTGAGCCCACAGCACTGACTGGGAGCAATGTGGAGTAGGGTATCTCACTCTCCTTTATCTGGGGACCCCTGACCAGGAAGCCTGTGCCTGTACAACTTTTCTTGAGTCTATTCTTGCCCTTTTCTTGAGTCTCAGGAGCACTAAGAAAACTTAAAGGGCTCTTGAATTTGAGCAAGACAGGGGTTCCCTATGAAGCAACCTCCAAAATCCCTCAGGGCTACAAAAGGTCTAGGTGAGGCCACTTGTTGACCCAAAGTCCTGGGGCCCTAGAGGACAAAGATGGGGAAACAGACTCCTCTGGCACCCTGCCTCCTGGGACAGAAGCTGTCCCCCAGGTTGTAAGGTCATCTAGTCTCAGATCTTCATCTGTGACTTTCAGGGAGCCCGGAGGCCCAGGAAGCAGGAATGCTCCAGACTAGGGAGATGGAAGTGAGAAGTTTAAGTCAGACAGATACCAGAGTCGCCTCACAGCCTTGTCCAGTGTGGGCTAGAGTGGGTACAGTGGCCACTGGGTGCCTGGCACTGAGGAACTAGGCCCAGCCAGGCATCCCTCCTTGTCTTTTATTCACTGGTTAAAATAAAGGTACTCGTGTGCGCACACACTTAAAACACCCAAAACCCGTTAATGACAGTAAAGTTGGTCTCTGACTTTTTTTTCAATTTACAAAATAAGAAATGTTTTTTATTCATTCATTATTGGTCATTTTCTCCCTCCTTTCTTCCCCCTCCCCTAGCTCACCTCACAATGTACCCCTTGTTTCAGATTATTTTCATACATATAACACTTAATCATATATTCCTTTCAGACAGTTCTTTCCCTCATCTGTTCTAATGAACTATTCATTATCTAGCCACTTTTTCTCCAATCCCTTTCCAACTCTCCATATCTGTTCTATGTTATAACAATGGTGTTATGCAGTATTTATCCTTTTGTGACTGAGATATTTCACTTAGCATAATGTCTCCAAGGCTTCCTCAAGTTGTATAATGTTTTACTATTGTTTTTCTATGCTGTGTAGCATTCCATTCTGTGAATGGATGCATCCTATTCACTGTCCAACTTTTAGCAGCATAATTGTTGTTCTTGTTGTTAGGTACCCTCAAGCTGAGTACGACTCACAGTGACCCTATGAACAAAAGATCTGCACCCTGTTCTATCCTGCACCATCCTCACACTTTCTAACACACAAGAGCCCACTGAAGCAGGGGAAAAAACCCAAGGCTTAGATCAGGTGCACCTTTGTCTTTAAATTGACATCATTGTTTTTTAGCACTTTAGAGAGATCTTTGACAGCTGGTTTCCCAATACAGCATGTATTTTGATGTCCTGACTGCTGGAACCAAGGGTTTGATTGTGGACCCATTGTTTCCACTAATAATGGTAGAAACCCTGATATCTATAATTTTTTTTTGGTTTTCTGTTGGTTTTTTTTTTTAAAAGCCCAGAAAATTCAAAACAAATGGATGTATCCTTCTTTCATATGAACCAGAGGGCTATGACCCTGTTTCTTGGTACCAAGGATGGTAAGAAAGGCAATAGGATGGAGTCCGCTGACCCTGGCAATGCTATAGAGTGAGTGAAGTATGAATCTTGCAGTCTTTGCCTCTTCTTCTAGGACATCAGAACAATCTGAGACACTCTCTATCTTCTACCTCAAGGCTGTCATGAGTATGGGGTCCACAAACATGTCACTTCCCAGGGAACTGAACCGGGAGTGTGGACAGCAGGGTGGGGTAATCAGGATGAGAGAAAGGAAAGGTTGGGCCAGTGTGAGGGAAGAGATAATTAATGAAATGAAATATCAAGATCTTTGCTTTGTAACCACTTCCCTTCTAATGGAAACAAAAGAGGCTTAGCAGTTGAAAAAATATATAGGCTTAGTGGTAGAAACAACAAGGGAGATCACATGATAAAATTTTGCAAGACCAATGTCTTATTTGTTGGAAATACCTTTTTCCCCCAACAACATGACTATATATGTGGACCTTGCCTGATTGAATAAACAGGAACCACATGGACTACATTTGTGGAAAGAGGATGGAGAAGCTCAATTATCATCAGTTAGAAAAAAGGTGCACATTATTGGTATAGACCATCAATTGTTCAGAAGTAATTTCATGCTGAAGCAGCAGAAAACAAACATATCCATAAATGCCAAAGTATATCTCACCTGAATTTAGAGACCAGCTCAAGGACAGACTTGATACAATGAACACTAATGATCAAAGCCCAGAAAAGTTATGGAAAGTGCCTGTTGGATCCAGTTCGGCAGTGCATAAAAGGAAGAGACAGAAAGACAGAGAGAGACACAGAGAGAGAGAGAGAAGTTATGGGAAGACATTAAGGACCTCTTATAAGATAGGAAAAAAGTCATTTAAAAACCCCAAAAATATAAACCAGAAGAACCTCTGAAACTAGCTCCTGAATGTAGTGTAGCTAAAAAGAAAGAATGAAATGATGTAAAAGAGCTAGAAATGTCAGAGGGCGGTTCAAAAAGACAAAGTATTATAATGAAATGTGCAAAGTTGGAGTTAGAAAACAAAAAAGAAAGAACACTCAAGGCATTTCTCAAGCTGAAAGAATGGGAGCATCCAAGCCTCAAGTTTTAATATTGAAGGATTCAATGGGTAAAATAATGAACAAAACAGGAAGCATCACCAAAAATATTGGGTCAAGGTTCAATCACTTCAGAAGCAGCATGAGATGCAGAACTGATGGTACTGAAAGGAGAATCCCAAACTGCACTTAAGGAACTGGTGAAAAACCAAGCACCAGAAATGCATAAAACGCCAACTGAGAAGTTTCAATAAATGGATACAGTGCTGGAAGGGCTCACTCACCTACACAAAGAAACCTGGGTGACAGCTACCTGGCCAAACAACTGGAAGGGATCGACATAGGTGCCGTTTCCAAAGCAAAGTGATCCAGTGGAATGCAAAAACTGTCAAATATCATTAATTTTACATGCAAGTAAAATTATGCTAAAGATAGTTCAAAAATTGTTGTACAATTTGGTTGTACAATAATAGGAATTGCTAAAAGTTTATACTAGATTCAGAAGAGAACATGGATTATCATTGCTGATGTCAGGTGGATCATAGCCAAATGCAGAGCATAACAAAAAGATGTTTTAAAGATACTTGGCTGTGTGGATCTTAACTAGTTATGGATAACAATGCAGAGGTGGGAGGAAAGGGAGAGAGGGGATTCCAGAATACATAACTACGCTCATGCAGAACTTATACAAAGACCAACAGGCCGTCATTTGAACAGAAAAAGACAGAAAATGCATAATTTAAAATCAGGACAGATGTGCATGAGGATTGTAGCCTTTTACCATGCTTAATAAACTATATGCTAAGCAAAATAAGCCAAAAAGTTGGACTTTTAAAGAATGTGACATTAGGATTGAAGACTCACTAACGACCTGCAAATATGTGTATTTTAGAACTTTGCTTGCAGAGAACAAAGACGACTTGAAACACTTGATACAACTCAAATACACCTCAACATAAAGAAAACAAAAATCCTCAAAACTGAACCAGTAAGCAACTTCCAAGATAAATGGAGAGAAGATTGCAATTGTTATTAATTTTTATTTTCTTGCATCCATAATCAACTCACACAGAAGCAGCAGTCAAGAAATCAAATGACAAATTGCATTTGGCAAATCTGTTGCAAAAGATTCTCTTTAAATTATTAAACAGTAACGATATCAGCTTACCACCTTGAGTATTAAGGTAAACCTTACCCAAGTTGTGTTATTTTTACTTGCTTGCTTGATATAAAAAGCTGGACAATGAATAAAGAAGACAGAAGAAGAATTGGTACATTTTAATTACGGTGGTGATAAAGAATACTGAATATACCATGAACTTTGAGAAAAATTAACAACTCTGCCTTGGAAAAAATATAGTCAAGTAGCTCCTTCAAAGGAAGGATGGTGAGACTATGTCTCAAACATATTACACATTTTATCAGGAAAGAGTAGTCCCTTAAAGAAGGGTATCATACTTGGTGGAGGGTCAGTAAAAGGACAACCCTCAACAAGATGGACTGACAAACAGTGGCTGTAACAAGAGGCTCAGATATTGAAGCAACTGTGAGGAGGACCCAGGGCTGGGCAGTGCTTTGTCATGCTGGTCGCTATTCATGGCATCTATCAATAATCCTTTCCCACCATGTCCTTGAAATAACCACAATAGGAGGACTCTCATAAGCATTAACAACTTTGTTTTTACCCCTTTTTCCAGGGTGCTTGGTGTCCCTGTAAAGGCTCTGGTGAGATCAATGCCAATATTTGAGTGGGAGCATTGAGATAAAAATAAAGGCCCTCGCCCAGGATTATATCATAACTGTGATGATGAAATCATGAGAGCACCCTGCGTTCCAGCCGGGAACACAGAATAAACTCCTTTACAATCCACGGCAAGAGCCCAGCACCTCCACCCCACTGCTGGCAGACATAAATTCTTACTTCCACAGAAAATACTTGTTTTTATAGACTTTGAGATTGCTTTAAGCAAATCTGGAGGCAAACACTAGTTTGAGAAGGTTGAAGCCACAACTTGGAATTGGTAACGGTTGAGTTCAGGAGACACACAGGTTGGTTTTTTTTTTTTTCACAAAGGACATCCTTTTAATTCTTCCAAAATAATCTAGGCTCAAACACCTTTCTCAGGAATGAGATCCAACAGAAAGCAGTTCAGAGAAAAGTGACAAGCACTGAAGACCGTTTACGAACCCCCAGAGTGTCCCTGCGGGCTCTAGGCCCCTTGGTTCTGCTCCCCTTGTGCACTCCTGACCAGGGATCAAAGTGCGAACTTTGGAGGCAAAACTGGGCCTTCGACCAGCCTGTGCTGCTGCTTCATGCAGGTGCCTAGGATCACTTCTGTCCCCAATTGTTCTCCCCTGCTTTGTCTCCTACTTTTTGCTTTTCTACTTCTCTACCTGATGTATCTTCAGTAGCCTGTTCTGATGAAAAGCAATTGGAGGTGAAGAATGAAGGGTATTCTTCCAAATAACTTGTTCTGGATATTTGGCCTCAGTTTCCTTATCTATAAAATTAAGAAGGTTGGGCTATCCACTTACATACAATTCATTCATAGCTTGCCTACTTCCTACAGTAACTTGAGGTAGGTAGGTCAGACTAACAACTCTAAAGTGCCTTCAAATTGTTAACATCCCACTTTCTTTAATATAGAAAAGTGGCTTTTCTTCAGGTAAAATGGGCAGTAAACACATCTACAAAGGAATGAGATCTTCTACAAATACACCTTCATAAAAAGTGGACTCTCTGCTCCTCGTTGATGCAGATTGCCCTCTCTTCTTGTGCAGCCTCAGCCACATCCCTGAGACACGATGGTGAAGGTCGGAGTAAACGGATCTGGCCGCATCGGGCACCTGGTCACCAGGGCTCCTTTTAACTCTGGCAAAGTGGAAGTTGTCGCCATCAATGATCCCTTCGTTGACTTCAAATACATGGTCTATATGTTCCAATATGATTCCACCCATGGAAAGTTCAACAGCACTGTCAAGGCTGAGAATGCGAAGCTGGCCATCAATGGGAAAGCCAACATTATCTTCCAGGAGCGAGATCCCGCCAACATCAAGTGGGGTGATGTGGTGCTGAGTATGTTGTGGAGTCCACTGGTGTCTTCACAACCTTGGAGAAGGCTGGGGCTCACTTGAAGGGTGGTATCAAATGGGTGATCATCTCTGCTCCTTCTGCCGATGCCCCCATGGTTTATGATGGGCATGAACCATGAAAAGTATGACAACTCTCTCAAGATTGTCAGCAAAGCCTCCTGCACCACCAACTTCTTGGCTCCCCTGGCCAAAGTCATCGATGACAACTTCGGCATTGTAGAGGGACTCATGACCACAGTCCATGCCATCACCGCCACCCAGAAGACTGTGGATGGCCCCTCTGGAAAGCTGTGGCGTGATGGCCATGGAGCTGCCCAGAACATCATCCCTGCATCTACTGGCGCTGCCAAGGCCGTGGGCAAGGTCATCCCTGAACTGAATGGGAAACTTACTTACCGGCATGGCTTTTCCCTGTCCCACCCACAATGTGTCAGTTGTGGACCTGACCTGCCGTCTGGAGAAAGCTGCCAAATATGATGACATCAAGAAAGTAGTAAAGCAGGCATCAGAAGGGCCCCTCAAGGGCATCCTGGATACACTGAAGACCAGGATGACTCCTGTGACTTTAATAATTACACCCATTCTTCCACCTTTGATGCTGGGGCTGGCATTGCTCTGAACGACCACTTTGTCAAACTCATTTCCTGGTATGACAATGAATTTGGTTACAGCAACCAGGTGGTCGACCTGATGGTTCACATGGCCTCCAAAGAATAAGAGCCCCTTGGACCACCAAACCCAGCAAGAGCACTAAAGAGAGAGAGAGACCTTCAGCTGCTGGGGAGTCTTTGCCCCAACTTGATCCTCCCACACACTGAGAATCTCACATCCTTGACACAAGTTTCAATCAAATCCCCCTGAGAAAGGGGAGGGGCTTGGCGAGTCCATCTTGTCATGTACCATCAATAAAGTACACTGTACTCAGCCAAAAAAAAAAAGTGGTCCATGCTGCTCTCTAGGCTGGCAGCAGTTGGAGAGACTTTAAATTTATGAGTGTCCTCTCAATTCACCGTTTAAGTTAGAATGCAGGGAAAGCCTTCATAACTGCATCACTCCTCATGCCAAAGGAGGAAAATCATAGATTCAAATTCCTTTTCAGTTTCTTACCTTACTCCCCACGACAGGTTCTGGGTGAAGAAGGAAGCATGTGTTCAAAGAGGAATCTCTTGGGAAGGGCAGGTGAGTGAAAGCAGGAAAAAGCTCATGTAGAAGTTGTGTCCCATTTGGAGGTCTTCTCCTAGAAAGGTTCGAAACAGATAAAAAACGATTCCACCTGGGTCATCCAGCCTATTAAAACTTAGAATGAAGCAAGGTCAGATAAATGGTGTGTGGTAGGTAAAGAGGGGAAAATATGTAAAATAAGTAGCATTTCTTAACTATAGGTCCATGAAGGGAAGTCATATCTAATACTTTATTAGATGTAATATGTCCACCTGCATAAACTCTACAGCTGTGATGTGTATATATGGATGGGATGCTTAAACACCAGCTAAAACAACTTGCATAGGAAGAAAACATCTATTCACTCCATCCTGATAAAGAGGCTGAAGTAACAGCAGGCCAGGAGGGGAAAAAGAGAAACAGGTGATAAAAAATGTGAATCTATATCTGAAGAAGAGTAGTATGCAGGTAGTGATGCAGGTAATGGGGCAGGGGTGGGGGCTGTTCAACTATCATGTAAACAAAGCGGCAAATTTAAAAACAGATGGAAGCATTAAAAAATTAAAATTAATTAAAATTTAAAAAATTCTCAGTAAGTTTCTGCAAAAACTTGAAAAATCTATTTTAACTTTCTAGAAATGTTGTTAATTGAAACCAATTTTCTTTCTTTTAAGAGAGCAACGCTGGCCCCAAGAAACTGACCATTTCTTCTAACAGGATGGTTCCAAGAGGAGACAAGAAGATGGAACTGGATTCCAATCCTGCTGGGTAACACTAGGCAAGTTACCAAAACTCTCAGATTCCCACTTTTCTGATCAGAAAAATAAAAATGATAACGCCTACTTCCCAGAGTCGTTCAATGAGCATCACCAACAGGCAAATAACATCAGGCGCCAAGGCACACTGTCTGGTGTAAACAAGTATGAGAAATGAAGTTTTCCTTCTATTTGTCTTGTTCTCAACAGTTAATTCCAATTCTGCATAAATGCTAAACACACACTTAGAAATAAATTATGGTTCTATTAGGCAATCCTGGCGCTTGCCCACGGTGGCTGGGCCCATCCCACCCTTGAATATCTTTCCCATTCATCTCCTTTATGCTCATAATTCATCTTCAACAGGGAGCTCTTGACGATCGTATGACATGAAGTGGATACCGTAAAGTGCTTACACAGTGTGGCACACGTTAGGGTCTCAGAGGCAGCTGCCACTGTGCTGACACATGATCTGCCCTCCACCTCCCCTCAGGCTAAGAACCCCTTTCTGTGCTCACCATGGATAAGGAAATGGGAACCACTGGTCAGGAAAGCAGCGCCACCACTTGGTGAAAAGTCCTTCATTGAAGCCTTCTCCCACCTCAGGGAATCGACACAAAAAATGCAGGAGCTTCTCAGACAATAGGGGCTGCTCGGTCTTGACAAGGCAGATAAAAAAGGAAAACAGAAAAACATTGAGTTATCTGTTGGAATTTTCACAGAGATTTCTTTTTCTAGCCTTTACCCAGGCAATAAGAGGAAGACTCTGACATGTTTACCTTGATCACCAGTGGATGGAGTCCCTCAAATTTCTCAGGGGTATCGCCCAGCAGCAGTACCCTAAGTGGTAATTTCTGCGCACAGCCAGTACAGTTGGCTGGGATGGAGTCGGACTCATTCTGCTTACAGCTCTTTATCGACCAGAGATCAAAGTCTGGAGAGGAAGGGAGATGGAGAAGTAGGTACAGGAAAAACAAAGCTCATAAGACCAGAAGCTTTCACAATGGTAGATATTATGATAGTATTTTAAAACTAACAAGGGTAAGCACTGACAACCTTGGAAAATGGGCACATGAATTAAGTAACACTGGCCTAGTGAATAGAGAGCTGAGCGACTCAGAGGTTCAAATCATCTGCTGGCAGGTGGTTCAAATCCACTACCTGTTCTTTGTGAAAAAGACGGGCAATCTTCTCTCATGTGATTTACAGTCTCTAAAAACACTGGAGCATCAGCTATGAACTGGTTCTAACTTGACAGCAATGAGTATATTTTCAAGGAAGGAGCAGAAGGCCCAGGGGATAAGGTGAAAAGAAGAGGTACTTTTCTCTGTAGACCCGTTCATACTTTAAGGGGGGGAAAATACCCTTCTAACGTGTTCATTTATTTCCCATATCAAATTTTTAAAATTAAGTATAACAGAAGGGAAAAGAAAACATTCAACATGGGGCTGGAGATACAATCCTTCTTGTTTCCTAACCTGTGACCCCTACATCCTACAGCATTTGGGGAATGGGCATCTAAAAAGCGTGATTCCCCCGATCTTGGTGAACTTACCAGTGTATCTTCTCACACACTCTGGGTGTGTTTTTAGCTCCTGAGCTCCCAAGTACACTGAAGGCCAGAACAGCTGTGCAAGCAGAGATGGAAAAGAAAGATCTGGCTTTCCAGGAGCCCATCTTTGGGATAAAATTAATTGCATCTGCCTGCATGTCAGAAGTGCGGCCTACAAACCATGTGTCTACCACCAGGGACCACAGGTAGATCAGAAATGGAAAAGCAGCTCATCCAAACCAGGGAGCAAGCGCCAGTCACATCCTTGTCACTTTTCCTGGGCCTGGCTCCTCTTGGAGCAGTTCCTCTGTTTCTATGCATCCTTTCCCAAATTCCCTCTCTTCCTTCCCTCTGACACGACCCCACTTATGGTGCTATTGCATTCTTTCGTGTTTACTTTCTGTTCTGTTCTGGGTTTCATTTGTGCTGAGAGACTTGTTTCCGTTAAACCAGAATGTGAATCCAAAATGTTTCACAAGATGATCTCTGATTAAGACCCAATGGAAATTAAATCAGCAGACAGCCTACAGCAAAAGACGACAGACAACCAAGTGCAGCTGAAACCAACTCAATTCTTTAAACCAATAAACACAGATGGAAGCTGATTCTAAACTATAAACCATCTTCTGAAATTGGTCGCAGTAAAAGAAAAGTAACAGTCACTCTATTCTTGTTTTCTTTAAGGCGGTGCTAGTGGGGCTTAAGACTGTGTTTGTTTCCAACAGCCTCCTGAATACCCTCCAAGCACTCTCCACTTCTTGGAAATTGCACCTGTATCCCCTTGAGTCAGCGGCCTCGTTTCCGCTTCAGCCCCTCTCAGCTTGTAGGCAGCTGACCAACAGGAGGCCTACGGCCACTCTCTCCTGGGTTTCTTCTGGCCCCACAGTCACTCACAGACTCTTTAGTGACACTTGTTTCAGCAACACATGGAGGCTGCAAAGTGAACACATTTTTGTCTTCTGGGTATTTTCAAATGGTTCTTACTAGAACTCAAAGACGATAAATCTTTGTCAAAAAATAAGAGCTCTGGCTAATGGACAACACAATAAGACATAAATAATCATAACAACATGTGGCAATTATCTAGCACTTCAGTTTCCCAAGTACTTGGAGGCAAGGAGACAGGAAACTAACGTGTGATGTGCCAGGCCCTCTGCTAGCCATGCTCATGTGCCACTGTTGGATTTTCACCCTAAAACTGCTTTGGAGTCATCACCATCCTCATTTTCCAGGGGAAGAAGCGCAGGTTAAGGAGGCACCAGCTGTAGTGTGAGCAGGGACAGTGGCTGCAGCGGGGACTAAGAAGGGCCTCAAGGACCTGAAGCAAGCCTAGCTCTACAGAGAGCAAGTCACAGCACGTCAGAGGTCTGTGAGCAGGACTCTTCTGATGCTCTAGGAAGCTTATTCCTGATCGTGACAAGGGAGTCCTGCATAGAGGGGCTGGGAACAGGAAGACAGGCTTTACTTTTGTCTTCCTTCTGAAGATCACGGTGTTGAAGACCTATGGAGCAGTCTGCTCCGCACACATGGGGTCACCAGGAGCAGAATCAAGTGAAAGACAGCTAATAACAGCAATGTGCTCCTACATCCATTAGGGAGCCCAGGTGTCAAGATGAAGAGCTACTTCTGATTTCTCTTCAGGCTTGACATCATCAAGTGGTTGATATTCTTGTTGTATGCCATCGAGTCAAGACTGACCCATAACTGACCCCCTCTCCAGTCCCCGCTAGTTTTCAGAGGTAATAAGTTACACAGAGGGAGAATTCCCCTCTTTCCCTCATGGAGCACCTGGTGGATATGAACCATGTGCCTTTGTGCTGGCAGCACAGTCCCTAACCACCAGGCCACAAGAACATCCTGAAATCACCAACACAGATTTTTTTTAAAAAGTGCTTATATTTAGCAAAGAGAAATGGCCTAGCAGTGAAGAGTCTGGGAGGGAAAGCTGTGGACTCTTCTTTCCTTCCCATAGAATCCTCATCGGAGGAAGAAGGTGTGGTCAGCCTCCAGTGTCTTCCTGAGAAGGTTACATATGTTATGTTTTCTAAATAACAGGCTTAGTGTTGTAACACTCCATATGGGGTAAAATCCCACCCTGCAAACAGCCAATGGAATACAGTCAGGCTTTCCCACACTATCAATAATTCAGGTGTTTTCTGTAACTCCCTAAAGATGCTGCAGCTCCTCACAGATGAGATGTCCACCCTTTCTGTGGCACCAGGCAATGAGGATCGCTATTTTCTCTTTTCATTATCAAGGCTTCTTGACTCCTATGGCCAGACTCGTTGTTAAGTTCATTCTGACTCACAGTGATTTTACAGGACAGTGTAGAACAACCACATGGGATTTCCAAGGTTGTCATTTTTACAGAAGCAGACACCACATCGTCCTCCTGCAGGGCAACTGGTGAGTTTGAACTACAAACTTTTAGGTTACCAACAGAGCTTTTCACACTGTGTCACCAGGACTCTGGGTTCTTGACTCTTATGCCAGTTAGTTAATATAAGAAAGGCTGTGACACATACGGATAGGTGAACAGGATGACACCCATGGCCATACATACGTGTGGCAGATGATATTTCTACATTCACAGTACATTCTGTGAATACAACCATATATATAACAGAGTCAAGAGGTGCAATGCTCCGTAAGCTTCTTCATCATAGCTAAACACTCTGAAGGAATGAGTTGCTGGTTCTAGGCTCTAGGACGTAGTCTTGAGAGCCATCAATTGATGGAACACAGTCCACAGAGACATTCTATTTTAGTGAGTAGTGACTGGGGTCTTAAAGGCTTGTAAGCAACCATCCAGGGCGTCCAGAAGAAAGGGAAGAAAAGCAGACATGTATAAAACCAATTAGTGTAGATATAGGACTAATGGTTCTCAACTTCTATGGCCTTTAGAATAAAAGAACTAGATGGTACACAGCTATTTGTCATGACCACACCAAAAGGGATCACAGGAGAAGATCATGGATAGAGTGGAGAGAAATGTGGGACATAACTCAACAACATAGCAATGGATAAGTCTGCTGGTCCAGTAAAGACTGGTGGAACTTCCAACTGTGGCCCCTGATCACCCTTTGAACCTGGGAAAAACTCATTTCAGTAGCTGAACTTTCAGGCAAATATTAGAGCTACAGAAGGACCACCACCACCAGGGCGGCACTCATTCCTTAGAAAACCAACCATATAAAGACAAAAATAGCATTTACCCAAGGACAGAGGACAGAAAGCAGAACGGGGTAGGACAGAATGGAAATGAGAGATAAAGCAAGAAGTGGGGGAAGGGCCATGACATTGTGTGTACTGCAATTAATGTTATAAAACAAAATGTGTAAGCATGGTTGAATGATAAACTAATTTTCTTTATAAACTTTCAAATTACATTCAAAGTTAAGAAAGGGAGTGATAGGAGGAACTCAATATAAGTAAAATTCATGATCTGTATTCCAAATTTTCATCCTGGTTTGGAATTACTTTCCTCTGTTTGAAATGTCAAAAACAATAGTCCAGACACAACATAGCCTTAAGTTAGGAAACCACAGCCACCCACCCTTCTCTGTAAACTGGGCACTCTGCGGAAGAGCCATGGGCTGAGGCCAGACAAGCAGAAGGCTTCCTGTGGCCTGTGGGTTGTTTACAAAGAAAACTCACTGAGATGGGGTAGTTGTGAACAACTGAAACGCACCCTGGAATTATGAGAGAGGACAGTCCTTTTTATACAGATTATTAACCAAGCAAAAACAAACCAAAAAATCTATCTTTCCAGGAAAAAAGTTATTTTGCATGAAACTTACAGAAAAGAAATGAGAGGCACAAAGCCAACACTGGCTCCACAAGGCAGAGGGACTGGGGCTGTTTTGCTCACTGCTCTGTAGAGAACAATGCCTCACATACAACAGCATCACAGTGAACATTCACCCAAAGAACGAACACACCTCTGAACCTTGAGAAGCTTTATCAGTAAGTTTAAGCATAGCCTGGAATCGCTGAAACTTTAAATTAAAAGATCAAATATAAACATATATGTAAGTAAAAGAATGGTCTTTTGACAAGTTCAATCTTTTGTTTATCATGGTATTATCTATTGGTCCTATTGTTTTCTTTACGTTGAGGTAGTTCAGACTGAATGCTATACAGTCTTTGGTCTTCAGTAAATGGTTAAATCTTCCCCACTTTCTGAAAGCAAGTCTGTGTCACTTTCATAACAGAAACTGTTGTGTCTTCTTCTAATCTTGACGCCATTCTTCATTCTAGCCTCTTGGATTATTTGCTTAGCATACAGAGGTAAGGTGAAAGGGTACAACCCTGACACGTACTTTTCCTAATTATAAACCATGTAGTATTCTCCTGTTCAGTTTGAACAACTGCCTGCTTCC